TATAAATAAATATTATGTTTGAATATATAAATTATATTAAAAATTAGTGTATATAAATATTTTTAAACATATAAATTATATTTTAAATTTATGATAAATAATTATTGTTGCAACAAAAATAATTATTTTTAGCTATTGATAATTTATTTTAAAATATTAATATTTAATTTATAAATAATTATGATAAATAAAAATCTAGATAAGAAATTAAAAGAAATTCTTACAAAATGAAAAAAAAAACTCCTGAAAATACTCATAAGATAAAGGTTTAGAGGCTGATCTAGTTAAAATAAAATATATTCTTTTTTACTTTTTATTATTATCTTCAAAATAACCATTTATCTACGAGTATCTTTAAGCATAACAATTATGTCCATTTGAGATCGTAAATGTGCGAAAAGTGACTTACAAAAAAATTTACTCCTACTAATTAGGAGTTATTAATTCTAACTTTCTCTCATATTTTATATTTTATCATGTTAACTTGCACTGTGAATAGAATACATAATTATATTAAAAATTTTCAAAGAGATCGACGCTTAACTTTAATTTTATATTAAGTCATGTCTTACTCTAAATTAAATTTTTTACATTAAAAGAAAATCAGTTTGGTCTGGTTACACCAGTTTAAGAATAGATAAAGTTGGAAAAGTAAGATAAAAACAGAATAGTAAAAAGTGCAATTATTTTTAATAATTGTTGCTTATTAATATATTATCGAAAGTCGCTTTGAATTAGCAGTGCCAGTTCGATATTTTAAAACTAATCACGACAAACACAATCGACAACGATCTTCAAAGTACAACGACGCGCAGGATTTTAAAAAATAAATTATTTATTAGCGCGAGGGCCTCGAGTTAACCGTACATCGGCAATAGCCATAACTTTTAAAAGGTAAATGGAGAAACATTGACAGTCATCCCTTGTGTGGCTGCAAATTACCAAACAACCACCACAACTAAAACATGGAGCTTACGAGTTACGACCACTTTCCTTTACTATATAGATGAACCGAGATGCTTCCCATAAGGCTGGAAAGAGGCATGCCAATGCCATAAAAGTACAAAGGTGGCTCAATTCCAAGCCTGAGCAACCGTCCCTTATTCCCAGCTTGCTGAAATAGTTCAAGATAGTGAAAGCAAGCAATAAAGGTTATTTAGGGCTAGAGTCGATTTGTTTAAAATTAGAAAATACAAGTTATTTTTAGAAAATATTTCATATATATATATATATTGTCTTAAAAAATAATTTAGACAAGAAAAGTAAAAAATAAGTCAATCCCACACCTTAACGGATAATCAAGCAGCTTTCACAGCATATGCCACTAAAGCAGAAAATACATCACCTAAGTAGCAAAGTTTTCAATGATAATTTATACTGTTACGGGACATGGATATAGATGTCAAATGACAAATCAATTGGCTAATAGGTCTGGATTTTATCTCCAGAATGGAAACAACAAATGCAGAATATAGAAGTTCTTAGGAAGGAGTCATAATATCATAACAAATCACAGATCCATTCATATAGAAATGTACCAGCGAACATCAGGCTCAGCAAGTGTCGCCAACAAGTATTATTCGTTGACTTTCACAATGTTATATATTAACATGTTATCCAGACCTGAGAGTAATCAGAAATAGTTAAAAAACCATGGACTCTGCACATTATGGCAGCCGACAATCACAACAGTTTTAACACGGAACGAGAAAGAGATGACAACAACTAACATACTAAAATAGTTCCTAAAGTGAGAACATATAGCACTAGACAAGAGGTGGATATTGCTTTGCTTGCTGCCGGACCCTTCTCTTATACTCAGTTGCATCCTGCACAAAAGAATTATTATATAAGGATACACCTTTAGTAATGCAAGAAAAAATAAAAAATAAAAAAGCACCGCCATCAAGGATGGCATCCGCACGGGGCAGGGGCATGCAGTGCCTCCCTGCTCTCCGTCCCCTTTCTTGCGGTAATTCTGCCTCCCATCCCTGTTTCCATTTCCCCAGGAGTTTCCAGAGTCCCCAACATTGTAAAATAATAATATCAAATATTCAAAAAGAATTAACTCTCTTTAAAAAAAATTAAATTTGAAAAAATAATGAAACTATATTAAAGAGAAGATAAAAAATACAATTATACATTACTTATTAAGAGATTAAAAAAATTTATATGTATATCACTATATCTATAAAATTAAGAATGATTTTCTCATTTTCAACATATGAAAACCCTACAAGGCGGGATCATGATACTCAATTCCCCATCCCCAAATTGACATTGGGGGATTTTTTGTCAGCATCCTCATCCCTGTGTAGAAAAAAAAACCCAAACTCAAGTCCCCAAACGAGGCAATCCGGGAGATAACCCCAAAGGATGGGAAAAGTTGCCGTTATACCCACCCAATTGGGCAATAAAGTTCACCATGTCTCGGTACCTATTGATCATATCGCACTATGTTCAGTGACCAAAGTTTCAACAAAGAGAGATAATATTCACAATTCCTAGGAGCAGGGGCTGCATATACAGAGTAAACATTGAAAAATATATAACTGTCACACCCCACTTTGCCTTGATTAATTATATCAGCTGTTCTTTACTCTTTGAAAACGACTATAGTTATACAATTCTCAGTGAGAAGTCTAGGAATTTTCAGTTTAGCTACCTGGATGAATAGATGATAACCCTCTGTCTGGGCAGGGTCAGCAGGATTTGGTTGATCAAGCAGGTCTTGTATGCCCACAAGAATTTGCTTCACTGTTATAGCAGGTCTCCACCCCTAAACGTAAAAGAATGATTCTATAAACATACACTCGGAAGCATGTAAAATCACATTATACTAATTTCAAGCAGCCTTCTAATTATAAAATGAATATACTTACACTATCTTCATTAAGTATGGACAAGCAAACAGTTCCAGATGGATACACATTAGGGTGAAAGAAACCTTGAGGGAATTTACACTTTGGAGGCTTGCTAGGGTAATCTTCACTGAAGTGCATTGTAAGTGGGAAAAATCCACCCTCCCAATCAGTCTGCAACAAACAACATGCATATTAATTACCATGAAGCAAATAACAGGGTCCGCTATTTTAAACAAGTTCCTCATTCATTTGCAAATATAATTCAAGGCATCTAGTCAAAACTGACACAAGCTCTTGGTGATAAAATATTTCAGTAACTTCCATAACCTAAACCGTGTTAAACGCAAAAGGTCAACATTAAGCACCTAGATGGTATTTGTTTTCCTTCCTTACCCACTCCGTGATAAAATATTTCAGTAACTTCCATGACCTTAACTGTGTTAAACGCAAAAGGTCAACATTAAGTGCCTAGATGGTATTTGTTTTCCTTCCTCCCCCACCCCACCCCAAAATTCAGTTTAACAGGTGTATGGTTCTCATCCCAACCAGAAACATTGATTTTATAGTTGACTATGAAATTGAACTAATCAATTGAATTTTCAACAGTCTTCATAAATACTGGTATCAGAAACAAAGTGATGCAGGATGCACTAGCATCATATTGAAGTTTTAGTAAAAGTTGTTATCATTCAAATTTTATACGTTGATTTAAATTAATGAAACGAAATATCAATAGTTTTCAAATTTTTTAAAACTATTCAAACTTGATCAATGTATTAAAAAAATTATTTCAACGGTTGAATCATTAAAATTTAATGTAAAATATGAATTATTGAATGAAGTAAATCTAAGTAAACTTACTTTTGAAGTAAGTGAATCCCTCCTATACATGGTTGTCAATCTCGAGTAACAACTCGTAATAACTGCTGAATTTATGAGATTGGTCAAACCCATCTATACAGCTTGGAAGCAAACTCGTAATTGAGCAATCTCGCCCAATCTCACGATTCTCACCTCCTTTGTTGCTAATAGCAAAAAATAGTCTTTTCTTAGTTTTTTATTTGTTATCATTTTAAGAACTTGTGTCTTGTGTGAAATTATGCATTATTTGTTACTAAACATTACTACTTTAATATTGTAATTTGCTATTTTACTCTAATATGGAGTTGAAATGTTGAGTTATTATGTTATTTATAAGTATTATAACATTTTTAATATTATGATTATTAATAATTAACAAAGAATAGAAAAGCTTACGCTCATTCAAAAGTAAATATTTATATTTATATATTATAAACTTGGGCCCATTTGTAACCAAAAAAATACACAAGGCCCATTCCAAAAATAGTTGGCAATTCATACAAAAAACACAAGAACATATGAAAAGTAGAAGTTAACTACACAAATTAAAGAGAGAAACAAATAAGAGAAAAAAATCATAGAAGAAGTCTGGGCGGTGGTGATGCAATTGCACTTTGCACGACTTTAGTTCGCCAAACAGTTTCCAAACAAAGGCACAAGGGAATGGGACTACAGTGCAGGGTGGCACAGATCAGCAGTGGCACTGCAGCATCAACTTCTGGCTCTTGCAAACAGCACAGGAATCACGTAGAGGGTAGGAGATAGGGTTTCCCAGCTATGGGGAAGAGTGGAAGTTTTTTTCAACTTACACTCTTTTTCTTATGCACAAAGATCACCAAAGATCAAGCATTTTTTCAAGTTAAAAGGCGACCCACTATGATCCTATCCTTCCAGCAATCCTCTTTCCAACTCAGCACGGATGCCTTTCCTATACTTCAAGAAGTGTGCATTTTAACAAGTCAACTTACAATTTTAACAACAGTGAGTCAGAGGACCGAGTCAGAGACAAAACAAAATAGCAAGAAGACAAATGCTTGCAGCTGAACAAAGGACTTTGCTGGAAGAACAAGGCTGAAACATGGGGGTTGTGGAAAGAACATGCTGGAGGTGGGTGGTCGTGTTGATGGGTGTTTGTGCCTTGTGCTTGATTGTTAGAGAGAGATGACTTTTTGTGTGCAGTGCAGAAGGTTGTTATTGATTCTCAAATATTCAAGGAGCATTTGCAGGTATTTTTTTAATGTCTGGGCCTTAGTTAGGCTTTTAGCAGCTTTTGGGTTTTAGATTTTTGGCCTGGGTCAGGTTATTAGATTTTATTTAATTTGGGTCTGGGTAGCTCTTTTAAGGTTTTCTAAAAAAATGGGATTGGTTAGGAGGGCTAGGGGTTGGGTCAGACGACCCAAACCAGACATTTCTATTTTCTTCTCTTCAATTTTCCGCTGTTCATCTTCATTCTTGTTCGATGCTGCCATGGCCCCTGCTTCCACTATGAGCACCACACAAAAAGCATAGGCCATAGCCCAACACGCCACCGCTATAAAATAGCAACCTTTGAGAAACCCACCACTGCTATGTGCCATACAATGGCGCTGTCATGGCCGCTTTTTAATGATACTGTTATTTAGTTGACTGACTGCTTTTGTTTTCTGTCTTGCTGTCTTAGTTTTTAGTTGATAGTCGATGAATAAAATTTTAAGCTGAAAATTCTTCCAATCACATGCCAAAAGATACGAAGCTGAAGAACATCCCGGGATGAACAGAATAACACAGTGAAAGAATAAGCATATAAAAATTAAGACAACAAGCAAATCTAAGAGCCATAAAATTTCATTTTCCACATAATGATGACTTGAATAATAAGAAGAAAAAAAAATAGCATACAAATCATCTCAGGTAATACGCTATTTAAAACCTTGCATAAATATAGACTATAAAGCACACAAGACTTCTAAAGGGCAATTCCAATACTAGCTTGTTCAAATCCTTGGCATCCTCGCCCCCTACTTCACTAAACTAAACGTTTTAGACAGAAACACCAAATAGAAAATCGATAATAGAGAGATAGTTAAGCATTGAACATGGAAAGAGAAAAGGACGCACCCCAGACTTGCCGGGAATCGTGCAATGCCAGACCATCAAATTGACGGTGCCATCGGGGAGAGTCTCGGGCTTGGCAACGAAACCCTAAATTGGATTGAAACAAGAGAGGAACGTGAGATATATAACACCGATTAAGAAGCGAATAAAATAAATTTAAAAAAAAAAAAAAAAAAAAAAAAAAGTGATACGAACATGGGGATGGTTCTTCCGCCATGACTTGCGCTCCTCAGCAAGGCGTCCACGAGCGATACCAGACATCTCTATGGATTCTCCGCTCCTAAAATTTTAAGAAGAAGAAGAAGAAGAAGCAATGGGCTCTTTTCCTTTAATTTTCATCATTTTATATATTTGTTTTTTAATTGGATAAAGAATAAACACTGACTTGACCCACTTACCTCTCTCCGCCACCACAATCTCTACTGTACTCAACTAACTTTGCTTTCTGCACCGCTTCTCTCTGAAATCAACGCTCCTCCTTTTATTGTATTAATTAAAATCACATTTTCAATTTATGATTAAGAAAATTAGAATAAACTGTTTTCGGTATCTCGCGTGAGAATCACGCCATCTG